CCCACCCACACCCACACCCACCCACACCCACACCCACACCCTTTTTTTCGATTTATTCCTTGCAGCGTCTAACTGTCTGCATATCTCTTTTTTCGAATAATATATTTGTCATCAATAGCATAATTTATTGACTATATTTTTTTAAAACGAAATACAAGTTAGAACAACACATCATTTTTCTATAATTCAAAGTATTTATAGATTTCATCAAGTCTGATTAGGCCTCAGATAAATCAGATACAGTTTTATCATGAAAATATATCGAAAACAATTTTAACAAGGGAAAAAAAGTGTAAGCTAAAATTGTAATTGTTTAAGAAATATAAAAAGTAAGGATGTGGAACGTGCATTTGTATTTCTGACATATGCCATAATAAATTTTTAAGAAACCATTCGAAGAATAAACTCTAGAAAGGGTGTGAGTGTGGGTGTGTGTGGGTGTGAATGTGAGTGTGTGAGTGTGGATGTGGGTATAGGATTATCTTCAACCCCACCCACCCACACCCCTACCTACATTCACACCCACACCCTACTTCGACCAGAATCAAATGATATTAATGAGCTGTTTCAATAATTCAAAATATTATCTCTATGCACATGAGATGAGAAAAAGAAACAAACTTGTCTCATTTTATCAATCATTATGATTTTCGTTTTTGATTGTTTTTTTCGCATTCGACTCGTTATTGAATATTTAATGTTTTTCTTCCTACATACTCAAAGAGATAAAAGGTCAAATCGATAAAATTATGCAAACAGCCTGTATTTTGCTAGTGCGTATCAACTGCTCCAATGTTAGGAATTACTTCATGGAAAGACTACAAACCATTATATAAAAATATTATTTTCGTTTGTGAAATAAAATTTGTCTCATCTTCGATTTTTCTTTTAACCAAAAGTTAGAAAAAAAAATGTTTTCTGTTTTTACAAATTTACGCGATTAGAAATACAGACACTTGAAAAAAAAGGGGGGATGTAGTCAAATAATGTACAAACAAACTACCATCGAGTCAAATGAAATAAGAAGATTGTTTTCAATTTCATATGTAAACGATGCGCGAAAAGCAAAGAAGAGAGAATAAAGACACTTTGGCTTTATCATTTGAGATGAGGAAGATAAGTAAGATTTAATGCCTATTTATAACATCAATTTTTTATACGGGTTTGTATGAGACAGGAAAAAAAGAAGATGATTCATATTCTTCTTTTTTATTATGAGAAGAACAAAAGTTAAAAGAGTAATTTTATTGACTGTTCTATCTAGTATTTCAAAAACAATGATTTGACAATGTTTTGCCGTCTTAATTTACTCAAATTCCGTTCGTTGTTTTTTGTATGTGCTTCTATTTCAAGCGAATCGAAAAATGATGAATATTATCAAAATAGAATTGTAACACTGTTAGAATTATTATCATTAAATAAAACTGAAATCAGATGCGAGTATATATATATATATGTGCTGATGTGAGTCGGTGATCTTGTATGTTTCTTTTGTTTGTTTTTTGTTTGACGGTAAGGTAACAGTAGTATTACATATATTTATATATATATGCATTCAATTTTGTCAGACTGTATTTTAGGATTGAATAAATAAGTAACAAATGAGAACTATTTCTTCGAATCAATATTTTAGATAATTTACGAATGAATTTGAAAACATTTATTTTTCTTTTTTGTTCTAATTTTTTATTGCTATATTCAATAACAGGTAAAATTAGTAAATAAATTAAGAACGGTAAGATTACCTTGTATTTTGCCGATTAGATGCTTGTGGTATTAACGAATGGAGATGTGAAACAGGCAGTCGTTGTATACCATTATCATGGCGTTGTAATCGAATTAATGATTGTAGTGATGGGTCTGATGAACGAAATTGCAGTATGTATAAAATATTATAAATTTGTTTTTTTGTAAGCTTTAAGTTTGTAAAATACTAGCTTATCCACGATGTTCGGAATCACAATTTGATTGTGGTGATAGGTGTATACCTCGTTCATGGGTATGTGATGGGGATAATGACTGTGGAAATAATACTGATGAACAAAATTGTCGTATGTTGTTGTTTCTTTTTTTTCATTTTCAAAGATTATTCTAGTACAATTGACTTTTTTTATTATTCAGCTCCGAGAAGATGTTCAAGTACACAATTTCAATGTAATGATTCACAATGTATAGGTGCATCCATGAAATGTGTATGTCTATTTTAGCTTTTTTTTTTCAAAGTACATAAGATTTATTTTATAATTTTTTTTTAGAATCATGTAAAAGATTGTAATGATGGTAGTGATGAAGGAGCATTTTGCAGTAAGTTTTCAATTTTTTTTGTCTACTGAAAACAAAAAAAATACATACGATTTCTAGATTATCGTCAATGTGATCCTTCCACAGAATATCAATGTGATGTACAACGATGTTTACCATTAACACAAAAATGTGATGGATATTATAATTGTGATGATCGAACTGATGAACTTAATTGCAGTATGTAGCTTTGTTTTTCTTTTAACAACCGAAAAGATTTATTAACATAATTTATTCATTTTTCTAGATAGTACAGCATGTCCCACATATCAATTTCGATGTGTATCCGATGGTAGATGTATACCAAGTTATCAACGTTGTGACTTTCGCTTACAATGTTTTGATGGATCTGATGAAGCAAATTGCAGTAAGAAGAATAAGAAATACATCAAGATCATTCTCATAATCACTGATGAGAAAGTTACCTAAATGGATACGTACAATTTAACCTTATCTTGAGTTTGTAAGAAGTTGAGAAAAAAAAATATTTTTAGTTGTTCGTAATACTAGCAAATCTAGCATTTCTACATATGTGTTAAATCTAAACCATTTTAGATATAAATCTATTCCTATATAATTGAAGCAATGTTTAGCCGATTGATAGCCTAGTAAACGTACTAAAAAGTCTAATACAATAATCTGTCTATATTCATCTTGTCTAAGCATATCAGCCATTGTTTGATCTCGATAGATGAAATTTTTAAATATTCAAAATATTGTTTGCATATATCTATCATGTTAGAAAAATAGGATAAAAAAAATATCGTTGACAATTTATCATCAGTTATTATGAGACATTCCTTACTTTTTGTTTTTATCGAGTTATTCTATTTGATTTTATTGTTTTTTTTTATAGCACGACCTAATTGTACCTCAAGTCAATTTCGATGTGCTAATGGAAGATGTATACCCTCATCATGGGTTTGTGGTACGTAAATTTATTATTTTTTAAATAGAATACAAAAATAATAATTCACGAATTTCTAAATTAGATCGTGATGATGATTGTCTTGATCGTAGTGATGAAATATATTGTAGTGCAAGACAATGTCCACCACATATGTATCCATGTAATATAACTGGTCAATGTATTGATATAACAAAAGTATGTAATGGTCAACAAGATTGTATTGATGGTACAGATGAAAGTTCACAATGTAGTAAGTTAAGTTTATCATTGGAAAATTAGTATAATTAATATAAAATATATCTAAGCTCATTTCGATTGATTTCAAAAAGGTTTCATTCGAATTTATTATACAGTTACAATAGGTTTTGATGTTGTATCATCATGTAAATTAATAAGACGAAATATTTCTCGTGGTTTCTAGTATATATAATAATGACCATAGAAAAACATATATTAAACTAAATAAATTCAAGTATGTCCAACCAAGATGAAGTTTTGTTTGAATTGTTGTTCCTGATGAAAGACAATCATCAATACTCATTCTTGTTTTTATGTGGTGTGTGGACTTTAGTTGATTAATTTTTTTGTTTTGAAACTAAATTTAAGATACTCAACTTTGTGGTTTTTTGTCATGTGAATATGCATGTCGTGCAACACCAGACGGTCGTGGTCGATGTTATTGTCCAATTGGATTTCAAATTAATCCAGCTGATAATCGTTCATGTATTGGTAAGAATATTCAATAAAAAAAGAAATGTTTTTTTTTTGAAAAACTAATTAGTTTCATTTCCATTCTATTAAATTAAAGATGTTAATGAATGTGAAATTTGGGATGAATGTGATCAAGATTGTCAAAATACAGTTGGATCGTATGTTGAATATATACATATTTTTTTCTATGATATACAAAGAAGAAGAGTCAATAGCTGATAAGATTAGCTTCTTCGAGCAGTTTGATATTTTTTCTATTTCAAATTCTCGTATAAGATATTCAGAAGTCATTTCTGGTGGAATTAGTTCTATAACACTTCTTGATACTATTCTTTTACAATCTTAAAAGTTCATTAGTTTCATATAACTCGTATGTTTTCTGAGTGAAATAGACTAAATATTAGTCAATAAAAAAAAGAATAGGCTTAACATCATGTCTCTGAAATAGAATCATAAAATTAATTCTCAATAATCAATTTTGTTTTATTGTTACTTTTATGCAGTTCTGTATCGCTCAAAACGTTCTGTCAGCTCAGATGAAAACTAGCTTTGTTAGTCATCAAGTTGATAGATACACAAGTGATAATTATCATTAATAGCTGGATTCAATGTATTACTTTTGGATACTTTTTATGCAAATTTGACATACAACAAAAACCTAGTTGCTTGAAAAAAATCAATTTTATTATCTATCCGCCTCGTTTCTTTAATCTGATGTATATTTAGATATGTTTGTACTTGTCGGGCAAATTATACACTTGAAGTTGGCAATCGATGTAAACATATAAAAAGTAAATATGAATTATAAAATAAAATTTATACTGATGATAATTATTACTCCATTATTTATTATGTTTAGGTGACGATATGAAAATGTTTGTAACTATAGCGAATAAAATCTATGAAATCGATCGACTTCGTAATGCACGAGTAATATATACTGGTCTAGAAAATATGACTATTTATGCTATTGATTATCATTATCGAAATCAATTACTTTATTTTACTGATCCATATGCACATAAAGTAATTAATTCAAACGAGACGTTTTTTTTTTCTTTTTTTTTTTTTGACAAATAATTTATTAATTATTGAAAATTTTCTTAGATCTTTTCATTATCATTATCATCCCCATTATCATCATCATCATCAGTAAGACTTATCCTTGAAAAAAATATTCGCATGCCAATATCAATTGCTATTGATTGGATAACAAATAAAATGTACATTGTTGAATATGAATTAGCACGTATTGATATATTGTCATTAGATGAAAAAATGATGAAAACAAATATAATTATTAATAATTTATATCAACCAGTAGCTATAGCTATTGATCCAATAGTTGAATATTTATTTGTTGCTGATGAAGGTAATGGATATCGAATATTAGCAAAAATTAATCGATGTCTTCTTGATGGTACACAATGTACAACATTAATTGATCAAAAATTAGAACAACCAAGTGATTTAACGGTTGATTTTATTAAACGAAGAGTTTATTGGGTTGATCGAGCTTATGATCATGTTGAAAGTTGTGATTATCATGGATCACGAAGGTAAAAGATGTTAAGCACAATCTATGAGAAATTTAAATGGGAAATATCATCTAGTTACTGTTGCTAATCAAAGAGAGATCAATTTATTCTATGTACTTTGAGATCCGTTGTTTTAAAGACTGTTTATCAACAGTATTTAGTATGATCTATGAAATCAAGAATAGACATCACTATAGTACCTGTCAGAGTCTTTGACGGTTTCTATTTAGTTATTTCAATACTTCGCTTGGATCGTGTTTGACTGAAGAAATTCTCTATCCTTCTTTTTTTTTTCTAATTGATCGAAAATTATTCTAATGATAACGATGATGATGTTTATTATTATGATATAGAATAACAATAACATCTGGTAGTCAAAATATTCCATTTACAGTTGGAATTGATTTATTTGAAAATAATCTTTATTTAACGGATGATGTAAAAGGTGCTGTATTACAACTACGACGTCATTTTAATTCAAATACAAGTTATTTTTATAAACCAGAATCATTTATTCGACCACAAGGTGTAGCTATTTATCATGAAACACGACAACCAAATAGAATAAATCCATGTAATGGAACATATAATGGTGGTTGTGAACATTTATGTTTACTTGGACGAGGTTATTTATTAGCAAATAGTTATCAATGTCGATGTCAATCAGGTTTTAGATTAAAATCAGATTTAAAATCATGTGAACGTAAGATAAAAAAACAAAAGATCAAACTTTCTATTGAGTTATATTTTTATTTTTTTTTTTTTATATAATCTAGCGGTGAAAGATTTTCTACTTTTAACACGATTAACTTCTATTCGTGGAATTGATTTTAATCGTGATTCAACAATTGAAGCTCGACCGCCAATTGTACCCGCGCGTCGAACTACTATTTCAGATTCTGTTTTTGATTACGAAGAAAAAACTGTTTATTTTTATGGTCAAAGAAGTCAAATGATTTATTCATCGAAAATGGGTGGTGAAAGTAAGTTAATATTTAACGTATATATCAATGATTTTTATTTCATTTTATTATTAAAACTATAGAACCAATACCAGTTACAACATCAAAAATATTTCCAATAGTTAGTGCTTTAGCATTTGATTGGTATTCAAAATTACTTTATATGACATCAATAATTGAAAGTCAACTTCTTGTTGTTCGACTCAATGGTAGAGATTTTCCACAACGTATTCTTGTTAATGGTACAACTGGTATACATGGTATTGCTTTAGATCCATTACAAGGGTATGTAATATTGAATTTTTTTATTCAGAACTATATAAACTAAAGACAGAATATTTATAAAAAAAAAAATATACCATGTCCTAAAAGTTCCACGCAGAAAAACAAAATGTGAAATTTTCTCTATCAATTTAAGTGCCTTGTATTACTTGTTTTCTTTTTCAATATTATAATAGTATATTCTTTGAAGTTTCTATTTAATTTTTGTAATAAGTTTCAATGCTCATGGACATTAGAATACAAAAGAGTTTTAATAATCACAAAATTTGAATCATTTTATTGTTTGAACATGATCTGTGTTCGAAATACATTTTCTGAAAATAACTGATTAATTTTTCTATAAGCTATACAAAGTATAATTTGTTCAGTAACTCCGTGAAAACGACTAATGAGATGGAATTGAACCTGTTGAAATTTGCTATCAATATTAGTGTACATTTATAATCAAGAGAATTTGTTTTTGTTTTACCGATGAAGATATTTCTTATTTATATGGTTAATTAATAAAACATAAAATTAAAACGAATCTTAATAAGATATTTATCAAAATTTGTTTTCTTGACGTCAAATATATAAATTATTGAAATTACTTACAACATATTTACCTTTTTTCCGATGACAGACTATTTTGATACTTTTTTACAAAAATCTTAACATGTACTTTTCTGTTTGAGAGCAGGATGTTTTTTTGTCATACACAATGGTCAGAAGAATCGCATTGCACTTTGATAAAAAAAAAATAATTTCTTGGTCTTTCATTATATCTTTATTCTCATAACTTCATTGAATATAGCTATGTATTTTATTCAACAATTGAACGTCCAGCAAAAATTTATCGAATGTTATCTGATGGAACAAATCGTAATATAATTGTTCCAAATGAATTAGGTACACCGTATCATTTAACATGTGATTATTCAACAAAACGTCTTTATTGGACTGATGGTACATTATCACGTATTCAATATTCAGATTATAATGGTCGAAATATTCAATCACTAAGAGGACGATCAATTTCACATCCATTTGGAATTGCAATTTATGGATGTAAGAGAAAAAAAGAAACTATTCATTCATCTCAAGATGTACGTTTTTTTTTATAATATTTTATAGCTCGTCTTTATTTTACTGACGCAACATTAGAAAGTGTATTTGAAAGTAGTAAAACATATAGGTATAGTATAAATATTTTATATAATCTAAATTATTATTTGTTCGAGATCTAGTGGTTATGCATCGGCTATTCGATCCAATATTCCATCGATTACAACAGTTAAAGTTTATGCCGAATCATCTCAACCAATGAATAGTATGACAATATCGATTCAAAGATGACATTGGATTTTCTTGCTTCTTTTTTGTTTTTTTGTTTATTATAGTTACACATCCATGTCGAAGAAATAATGGTGAATGTGCAGATTTTTGTTTTCCTAGACAAGAACAAGGTGTTTTAACACGAGTATGTGGTTGTCGTTATGGTCAAAAATTAAATACAATGAATAATCAAGAATGTATTGATAATTCTCAAGCTGAACCAAGTCAAACATCCTGTAATGGACGTTTTCAATGTCGAAATGGTCGATGTATTCCATTAAGCTATAAATGTGATGGAGGTAAGTCATTCGAATTTATAATAGAAAGAAATAAAAAAAGAATTTTTTTCCATGTTAATAGATGATGATTGTCATGATAACAGTGATGAACAAAATTGTCCAGGTAAAGAAAAACATATATATATATAGTTCTCGACAAAATTAGCTGCCCTCTATGAAGTATTTACTTTTCTCTACTATATTGAGCTTATATTTTTCGATGCATCACTGTGACAATAAACTATTCCCACAAGCAGCAACTTATCCTTCATCGATTCGCATGTACTGAAGTTATGATTCAGACATCTTGTTTGCCCTTGAACACAACATATTCAGCAGAAATATACACTAACAAAGTTTTTGTTTGTCATTTTGATATTCTAATAGTTACTATTGTTTTTATAAAGTTAAAGACAGTCACACATATCTATTTTATTATCACTAAAACTCGTGACTAGAGCTGTGCGAGATCGAGATCACAAGAAACAGACGCTACTGAGACAGTAGCAGCGAAATATCTCTACCGAAAAAAATTCAGAATTGTGTACACTTACATATTTTTTGCATTGTTAGTTGTTACCAAAATAAATAGTAAATGGCTATATAGAATTCTGTTTAACTATTTAGCGACAGAGGTCTTGATTGTTTAAAAACACAGAGAAAGATTTGATTCTTTTGGTATTCGAGAATCTGATTAGAATTAAAATACAGTAACACAGTATTTTAAGAGGATTCCGTTTGTAACAGAGTATATGAAATATGAATATTGAGCATGTCGCTATCAACATCGAATTTTGTAGAATTTACGGTGAGTTTTCAAATTCTAATAAGAATTTGATGATTCATAATAGAATTTTTGTTTCGAAAGTAATTGTTTGCTTAATTTTATATAATGTTGTTATTATCAATCGGTTATTAGAATTTTGAATTCTGTTAAGTGTTTTAAAAAAGGTCAAATAGAATTAACAAGCACAGGAATGTATCTGATAAACAACTGCAATGAATTTTTGTCTGTTTATCGTTTCAAAGTAAAGGATTATCTTGATTACGTCAATACAACGGAGAGAAAATAAATTATGTGTGAAATGGTGGGAACATTAGTGTGAAGGATGCTGCTATTTGTTTTTTGCAAGATTGTCACGTCTCTTTTAAATCTTAAGTTTATTTACGTCAATATTTAGCGTGCCGCAGAACTGCGAATTTCTACTAACAGTATGTTTGATGAAAGTTTAGTAAAAACTGTTGAAGCTTGGCAATCTTTAACAGAATTTTACTATATTTGTTAATTCTCCAGAGAATTCTGTTACGATCATGGAGAAAGTGTATTTGAAAGACTTTGTCTTTTAATAATAATTGTATAATTTTACTGTAATTCAGCAGTATCCTTGAATTCTTAGCAGATTTTTTTTTATTAGAGAGAGAATGCCTTCGTTAACCCTCATTTTCTACAAATAAGCACGGAATGCTGTCAACATCCTGCTGGTCTTTTAGCTCCTGATATAATTTTATTTTCAGAAGACAGAACTTATGTCTGACACAGTTTGTAGCCTTTTTCTAGTCATAGATTTCTGTTTAAAATATTTTAAGTTTTTTAAAAATCTTCACTAGAATTTTTTTCATCAGGACGAAGTTTCGGAAGGCTTTGTCTTCATAAAGATACGGAGTCCTGTTCAATAGCTCGAAATTCTTTCGAATTCATAGCAGACTTTTGTTTTCCGAAAAGCATTGCATATGATAAAGCTCATTTTCAGGTACTGAGATTTGAATTTTGACGAAACGCTGCTGCATTTATGAAACTTACTGGTAAAGTTCTGTCACTACAAAATCATGTGTTTAGTGGCGAGCTTAGATAAAAATAATGATGTCGTAGCATTCAGTATGCTTGATCTGCTATCTAATATGAACAAATCTAAAAAGTTCAGAAATATACTTGCTATCCATTCTGCTGACTCTTCCTTTCGAGTGAATAACTAGATGTAAATATTTCTGCCAATATGATTTAGATAAGTTGATCATAAAAGGAAAACTTCGTGAATCATAACTTCAGCACACGTGAACCGATGCAAGTTAATGTGTGTGATCAGGATTTCTTGTCGCATGCATACACCGAAAATATGAAGTCAATATCATGAAGAGTTTAGTAGCACTTCATGAGAGGCGGCTACTTTTATCCAGGACTGCATTTTGACATACACGTATATATTCATATAGCTGGAACACCAACATGTGGAACAAATCAATTTCAATGTAGAACTAGTCGTGTTTGTATAAATAAACAACTTGTTTGTGACGGTTATCCACATTGTCAAGATCGTTCAGATGAATCTAATTGCAGTATGATGAAAGAAGATTTGTTTTTTAATTTTTCAATCGAAAAATTTTATTTTATTTTTTTGTTTTAGGTCAAACTTGCACACAAAATCAATTTCGTTGTGCAACAGGAAAATGTATTCCTAAATCATGGATATGTGATAATGGTAAAGAGAAAAAGAATTTCTTTGTGTTTGTTAATTCTTTTTGTATAGAAAATGATTGTGGTGATTCGAGTGATGAACAAAATTGTGAAGGTGAATATAAATTTGAATTTTTTTGTCGTAAAAAAAAAATCCTTTTTCTTTCTTTAGAAAGAACATGTGATCCGTTGACACAATTTGCTTGTCCTCATACACCTGGTAAATGTATTCCGAATGGTATGTTAAAGAACGAAAGTTTTGTTATTTTGAACTAATGCTATTTATTTTTATTAGGATGGAAATGTGATGGTCAAAATGGTAAGATTTAATTTTTATTATGTAAATATACGTCTTATTTATTTGAATTTATTAGATTGTGGTGATAATGCTGATGGTTATTTAATAACAAAATTTATTTTTTTCCTGTAGGAATATTTTTTTTTGTTTTTAAGAACTCGATTGTCCACCAATAACTTGTGGTGCTGGACAATTTCTATGTTCACGTGATCGTATGTGTATTAATGCAACACGAAGATGTGATGGTATTGCAGGTATGTACATATTCATAGAATAGTTTAAATCTGTAATTGATGTATATAGATTGTCAATCATCGGAAGATGAACGAAATTGTGCCGGATCGGTACCATCATGTCGTCGAGCAGACCAATTTCGTTGTGGATCAACTTGTATACCAAATGTAAGTTGTTATTGAAGACATGAATTTTTGTTTTGTTTTTGAAAAATTTTTTTATTTTAATTAGGCTTGGCGTTGTGATGGTCATCGAGGTAAAATAAATATTTCGAAAGGGAGAAAAAAATATTTTTTTTTTTTGGAACTAAATTTAGATTGTGCCGATGGATCGGATGAACCACCAAGTTGTGGTTAGTGTTTTACTTTTAAGTTGATACGAAAAATGATTAAATTATATTAATTATAGGTGCAAGAAATTGTACATCAAATGAATTTCGTTGTGTATCAACGGGTGACTGTATTCCCAAAGGGTGGATGTGTGATCATGAAGTAAAGAAAATTTTTTTTTTTGAAACTTTGAAAAATATTTAAATTTTGTTAAGGATGATTGTGACGATGGTTCGGATGAAGGCGCAGAACTATGTCGTAAGGATTATTGAGACCTTTCTTTTCTGTCAATGAAAATTTCAATTTTTAATCAATGAATAGAAACTGCACCTTTTTCATGCCCGGAAAATCAAATGATTTGTCCTGGTACGACAATTCATCAATGTGTAAATGTTACACAGGTCTGTGATGGGTAAATATTTTTTGTTTATTTATTGAGCATATCGTACGAGAGTGTACTAGAATTTACATTGACTCTATTGCAATGAAGTGAAATTTTCAGAGGTTGTATGACTTGCGTCTATAAGCATAGCAATAGGTTCAAATAACTCAGAAAAATCCTGCAAAGGGGAGAGGCAAGTTGGCTTACGCAGTCAAAAATGAATCTTGTCTAGTTCTTACATTTTTCGAGTGGTAGAAGTCTGAAAACTTTGTCATAAATACTGGTCGTTATCGTTGATACGATCCTTTGTTTCTACTGTGTGTTCTGTTGTTTTGGACTCAAGTATCTCTATGAAGTTCAAACAGCATTTCAATTTTTATTAATGCTGTAGGATCTTATAATTGTCCTCTTTCTAACGCTGAAACTTCCAGATCTGAAATTTGTTTCTGAATCG